TTCTTTTTCTTGCCTTATCGTGCTGGCTGAGACTTCCTCTATTGTGTTGAATAGAGTCCTGGGAATAGACATCCTTGCCCTGCTCCTATCTCCAAAGGAAAACATTGAGTCTTCCACCATCAAGGATAATGTTCATTTTAGGTTTTGTCACAGATTGTCTTTGTCACGTTAGAGAATTCTTTTCTATTCTTAGTTTACTGAGAGTAGTTTTTATCGTGAATGGATATTTAATGTTGTCAAATGCTTTTTCTGCATCTATTAAGATCATGTGACTTTTCTTCTTCAATGTATTTATATAGGAAATGACATTGATAGATTTTTATTATTTATTTAAAATTTTTTTTTAAATATTTTATTTATTTGACAGAGAGAGACAGCGAGAGAGGGAACACAAGCACGGGGAGTGGGAGAAGGAGAAGCAGGCTTCCCATTGAGCAGGGAGCCCAAAGCAGGGCTCCATCCCAGGACCTTGGGATCATGACCTGAGCTGAAGGCAGACACTTAATGACTGAGCCACCCAGGCACCCCAACATTGATAGATTTTTAAATGTTGAACCAGTCAAAGCTGGGATTTGTGGGATTAACTCCACTTGGTCATGACAGATTGTCCTATTGCTGGATTGATTTGTTTCTATTTTGTTTAAGATTGTTTCTGTCTATATTCATGAGGGATACTGGTCTGTAGTTTTCTTTTCTTGATATGTCTGTCTGGTTTTGCTATTAGGATATTACTTGCCTCATAAAATGAGTTACAAAGTATTCCCTTCTCTTTTATATTTTAGTAGAGATCATGTAGAATTGATATTATTCCTTAAATATTTGGTAGAATTCACCATTGAAACTATCTGGACCTAGAATTTTATTTGTGGAAAGGTTCTTAACTACAGAGTCAATTTCTGTAATAGATGTAGGTTATCCTGATTTTCTGTTTTTTTGTTGAGTGGAATTTTGGTAGTTTGTGTCTTTCAAGGAACTGGCCCCCTTCATCTTGTTGAATTTATGGGCATATTATGCTCATAGGGTTTTTTTTATTGTCCTTAGTGTTTGTGTAATCTGTGGTGATATCTGCCTTTCACTCCTGAAATTGATCTTTTTTTGCCTTTTTATTCCCCTTGAACAGTTTAGATAGATGTTTATCAGTTTTTTTTTTTGGTCTTTTATAAGAATCAGGTTTGGGCCTTACTGATTTTTCTGTACAGTTGACCCTTGAACAACACAAGGGTTGGGGCACTGAGCCCCTGCACAAGTAGAAAATTCACATATGACTTTTGAGCCCCCAAAAACTTAACTACTGATAGCCTACAGTTGACTAGAAGCCTTACTGATAACGTAAACAGTTGATTAACAAATATTTTACATGTAATGTGTATTATATGCTGTATTCTTAAAATAATTTTAGTTTACAATAGTAAGCTAGAGAAAAGGAAATGTTATTAAGAAAATTAGGAAGAGAAAATACATCTGCAGTACTCTCCTGTATTTTTCAAAAATAATCCCTGTATAAGTAGATCTGTGTAGTTCAAACCAGTGTTGTCCAAGGGTCAGCAGTATTGCTTTTCTGTTTTAAATTTCATTAATTTCAGATCTTTGTTATTTTTCTGTTACTTGCATTAGAATTAATTTGTTCTTCTTTTTCTAGTTCCCCAAGGTAGAAGCTTAAATTATTGATTTGAGACCTTTTTCTCCAATATAAATATTTAATGCTATAAATTTCCCTGTAAGTACTGCTTTAGCTACATCTCATGCATTTTGATACTGTGTATTTTCTTTTGCATTCTGTTTAACATATTTTCTAAGTTCCCTTGAGACTTCTACTTTGACTCCTGGCTAATTAAGAAGTATGTTGTTTAATGTCCAGATGTTTGTGAATTTTCCAGATAGCTTTCTCTTACTCATTCTTGGTTTGCCTTCATTATGGTCAGAGAACATACTTTGAATGATTTCAATTTTTCTTTAAATTTTTTTATTGTTATGTTAATCACCATACATTACATCATTAGTTTTTGATGTAGTGTTCCATGATTCATTGTTTGTGCATAAGATTTCAATTTTTCTAAATTTGTTTGTTTTACAACCTATGATATCGTCTATCTTGAACAATGTTTCATGTGCACTTGAAAAGAATGTGTGTTCTGCTGTCTTTGGATATAGTATTCTATAAATGTCAATTAGGTCAAGCTGGTAGATAGTGTTGTTCAGGTCTTCCGTATCCTTGCTGATTTTATCTCTACATTTCCAGATATTACTGGAAGAGGAGTGTTTACACCTGTAAGTGTAATTGTGGATTTGTCTATTTCTCATTGCAAGTCTGTCAGTTCTTGCTTTGTGTATTTTTAAATTCTGTTGTTAGATGTGTGCACATTTAGAATTTATATGTCCTTGTAAATTTACCATTTTATCATTCTGTGATATTCTCTTTATGCATAGTAAATTCCCTTCTGAATGCTGCTTTGTCTTATGTTAATATAGCCACTCCAAACTTCTTCTTATCTGTGTTTGCATGGCATATCTTCTTTCACCCATTTACTTGTAATCTACCTAAATCTTATTAAAGTGGATTTCTTGTAGACAACATATAGTTGGGTCTTATATTTGTGCACTCAAACTCTGTTTTTAATTGGTTTGTTTAAAGTATTTAAGCTTAATATGATTATTGATATGGTTGGATTTGGGTTGCCCATTTTGTTTTTCTGTTAGTTCTTTCTGTTTTCGTTCTGTTCCCTCTTCCCTGCATTTCTCTGAATTATTGAGTAATTTTTAGAGTTCCATTTCAATTTGTATTTTGGATTTTTTGCTACATCTCATTGTGTAATATTTTTAAAAGATTTATTTATTTAGAGAGAGAGAGAGTGCATGAGCAGGGGGAGGGGCAGAGGGAGAGGGAGAATCTCAAGCAGACACACCGCTAAGCATGGAGCCTAATATGGGGCTTGATCCCACAACCCTGAGATCGTGACCCAAGCCAAAACCAAGAGTTCACCACCTAATGCACTGAGCCGTCCAGGCGCCTCTCATTATATATTTTTTAGTGATGGCTACAGGGATTATAGTAGTCATATCAATTTTCAGTGTAGTTTTGGATTTAAACGTTTTACCACTTCCAGTAAGTTGTAGAAGACTTACGAGCACCATCTTGTCATCACTGCCATGCATTACATCTGCACACACTGTAAACACCCCCAGAAAGTGTTACAATGTTTGCTTTTAACAGTAATAAATATTCTAAAGAGCTTGAGAAAAAAAAAAAACAGTCTTTATGCTTCTTCGGGTACTGAGCATTTCTGTCGCTCATTCTTATTTCTCAAGTTGCAGGCTTCCTTGGGACCTTTCCCTTCAGCCTGAGCAACTTTTGTTAGCACTCCTTTCAGAGTAGGCCCCTGAGGACATGTTCTCTTCCTGTTTATTTATCCGAGAATGGCTTCAGTTCACCTTCACTCCCGGAAGACACAGTTTGCTCAAGAGCAGGTTCTGAGTTGACAGTGCCCTCGGTCAGCCCCTCTGTGGTCTGAGCACTTGGCTCCTGATGGGAAGTTGGCGGCCACCCACAAGGCCACTCCTCTATGTGTCCTGTGTCATTTAGCTCATGCGGCTTTCCAGATTGTTCTCCATCTTTGGTTTTCAGCAGTTTGTGGTGTTTCTGGGCCTGATTTTCTTTTAATTCATCTTATTTAAGGTTGTTCAGCTTCTTGAATCTGAAAAATATGTCTTTCACTAAATCTGGGAAAATTTTAGCCATTATTTCTTTAATTTTTCAGCACTGGTCTCTTTTTTCTCTTTCAGGGACTGAAATAACAATTGTATTATACTTCTAGTATTATCCCGCAGGTCTCTGAGCCTCTGTTCATGTTTCCTCGACATTTTCTTTTCTCCTCTATACTGGATAGTTTCTACTGTCTTTAAGTTCACTGGCTCTCATTTTCTGTCATCTCTGTTCTGTTACTGAGCTTATCACGTGAATATTTGGTGGTGTTTTAAGATACCACGTGATTCTATTGTAGAGAAAACTTGAGAGTCACTAGCTTCATACCTCAGGCCTCAGTGTCCTCACCTTAAAAAATGGGGTGACAGTGCCTGCCTTACCATGCGGGGTTGCTGGGCACAAAGCATGGGGTCTGAGACATCCAGTAGCCTCACCAGATCCAGTCAGGGAGTCGAGACCAACCGAAATCCAAGGACTTCCATTACCAGGTAGAGCAAGGTATTTTGTGGAAGGTACTGCCAAGCACAAAAGGATGTTGCCGCAGAAGTTCTCCTGATTTGAATGGTGGTAACAGGAGAGAAGCTAGCAGGGACATTCAGTCCAAGTTGTAAGGGTGTGAAGGTGCTTAGTGAGCTGTCACAGGCTTTTCAGGGGATGTGGACACACTGTCCACCAGCCACAGGGCAGTTGCACATGCCAAGACTGAGGCCAGTACCGAGTGCCAAGAGCACCAGGGGAGGGTGATGGTCAGGGTGGAGAGACCAGAAGTTTCATCTTAAAATATGTTTTTAAGGGGAAACTACAGTATATAAAATTCACAGAAATCTATGTTGAGCATGTTACATAGAAATTTTTAAGTTTGTAGTTTAGGCTGCTGCTAACAGCATTACTATATATAATTTACCATAAGGGCCACACAGGCTGGAGTCAAAAAGAATTGTTCTCATATTTGCTGACTGTACCTGGTGGTGTACTCGCCAACATTGTGCTTCAGTGTTAGATACTTGTTTTGCATAATAATATGCTTATGTGTAATACATTGGCATTGGCTATTTTGTTAAGGTCTAATAAAACGTGACACGTTTTAAATGCCCTGAAATGGTACAGTTTTGGGGGCGCCTGGCTGGCTCAGTTGGTAGAGCATGCGACTCTTGATCTTGGGGCCGTGAGTACAAGAACCACATTGGGCATAGAGTTTACTTTAAAAATAATTTTAAAAAATAATAATAACATCAAATGATACAGATTAATTTACAAGTAGATATTTCAGCTAAAGCTATTCTCCTCTTATTATTAACAGAATATCCAAGGTATATCCAAGCACCCAATTCAAATTACTAAACCACAAAATGTTAAAGGTAACACATTTCTCTCTACTTTGCTGAAGTATTGGGTAACATTTTTTTAAAAACCTACAAGTGTTTATAATTGCTTTCCTGTAGAACTAAATCCTTTGCCTTCCTCAAGTTCTCTGTATTTGCATGACCAGGATTTAAATACACACTGAAAAATAAAACACAGCTAAACTGATATGGCACCTCCCTTTTAGCAGTTTACAAGTTAAAATAGATGATAATTATACAAGGAAAGTAGCTCCCTTCCCACCACCTCTCCCCCACCAACTTCCCAACAGAGAAAAAAAACAAACAAACATAAAATAGACTGGCCTTTATTAAAGTCTGAAAGCTACTGGAAATGTTTATAAAAGCATACCAACACTGTTCTTTCTTCTTAGCTGTTCCACTGTAAGGCTGACAGTTACATTTCCAAAAAAGAAAAAGGTCACATCTGAGCAAAGTAGGTTCTGTGGCCCGTCCCTCCAGCTCCTGCACCCTTGGTGGGGTGCTCCTGCCCTCTGCTTGGACACCACAAGACAGTGAAGCATGACCGGGTCCTTTTCAAATACACAGTCACCCTTAAGCAGGACCCATGGAGGTGTCTCCTACTGCCCTTTAAAACATATTCTGTGCATCCAGGACCCGCGCTTCCCCAAAGCCTGTTTTCTAGGCTGTGAGGCTCTGGGGGCCTCCAGGACATTCTTACTGGAGTACATTCGAGGGTCTGCATTTGAGCTGCTCCTCACCAAGAATTCTAGACAGAATGTAAAATTTTAACAACAGAAAGCCTACTTTACTCTCAGCAGTACCATGTTGCTTTTAAATTATATTAATAAAAATATTCAGAAAAGTCAGAAATCTGGACTCTCGACTTTGGAATGATATTAAAATAAACTCTGTGTGAGGAATGGCTATGAATCAGCTTGTGACCAAATTCACCAAGTGCTCTTGAAATAATGTTTCAGGTACAGAAGGCACGATGCTCACCATCTCCCCAAGGAGCATGTTTGTTGCGCCTGAGGGCCACACCTTCCTGGCAGCAGGTACGTGCAGACGGTGCCAGAGAGACATCCTCTGTCATGGTGGCTCACTTTACATGTTCCATACGGTGCAAATACTTGGAAGGTGGATAATTCAAAGGTACTTACAGAATTCATTCTTTAAAGTAAATCCTGAGGCAAATATTTATACAAAAGACAGATTTCTTGTGCACAGTACATAAGAGCAGATCTGGTTCAAGGGTCCCTCACCTTCTCCAGATCCCAGATGCCCCAACGCAGTCCCACCCAGTCTGCCCCTCCTTTCTCTCTCTGTTGTCATCACACTCCGCGCTCTGCCCCCCTCGCTCCCTGCAGATGGGCTGGCCTCCAGCCCAGGCCAGCCCCACCTCATGCCTGCGTGGAACCTCTTCACTAGATAACATCTCGCTCCCTCCTTCGCCTCCTCTGTCTTGAGGAGGGGTACCCTGACCACCCTCTCCCTCCTGGATCCCCTTTCTTGATCTGTCTTTTCCAGTTCACTTCTCATCTTCTGATGTACCAGATAACTCACACACATTGTCTCCTGCTCCTAGAACATGGGCTCCACAAAGAAAGGCTTATCTGTTTTGTTCATTATCAAATCCCAAGCATACCTCCGTAGGCACCCTCTAAACTTCTGATTTAGAGAATGAACAAACAAGTGCATATGGCCTATCCCAGAGAACACCTCTGGCCTGACGGAAGGCAGGACAAGTCCCTTAGACTTGCAGACACAGGGGTGGCCAGTGGCCCTGAGACCAAAGGACCCTGGCAGATGGGTGGGAGGATGTTGTCCTTGATGCTGCAGTGGGGACGGAAGGTTGAGGGTAGGCTGGGGCATGGGTAGCAATGATGAGGGACACTGTTGGTAGATTCAGAATTAATATGGATTGTATCTCACAGACTTTTCACAGATTGAATTGCGCATTCTTGCACACTTATCTGGGGATCCAGAACTTTTGAAGTTGTTCCAGGAATCTGAAAGAAATGATGTATTTTCCATCCTGACTTCACAGTGGTAAGATATATGAGCTCACAATATTATCAGAGCTGCAGGAATGCTGACATGATTTTAAAATCCTGAAGTTATTCCAAGGCTATTTTCATAAGAAGGAAATTATATTTTTCTCTAGTAGTTAATCCTTTTGAAAAGAGAAGGTAGATAGTTAGAATGCCAAGATTTCCCTAATTATGAAGAAGCCGATGGCTCTTCACCACCAAAAATACAGCCCATTGCTAGAGAATGTAATAGAGATATTGGAAGAATCCAGTGTGGGAGTCTGTGCTCCCTCCACGCGGGTTGTGTGAGCGGCGGGGCTGGGTGTGGGCGCTTCCTCTCCGCACCCCCACCCCATCAGGGCCAGGAGCACACCAGACTGCAGGGACAGTCCCTGCCTGACAGTGACCTGCGCTCAAAGAGAATTCTGGAGACAGACAGCCTTGGGTTTTGTTGAGCAGTTTGACAGTGTCCTCAAACGCCTGTCCTTGTGCGTCAGTGTTCTTAGGCGGTCAGCTTTTCTTTATCCTGGCTGCGGAACCCCTGCTGCCTCTTGTGCAGAGTGGGCTCTCCCCTCAGACCGCCTTTGCCAGGGGCAGGGGTCCTGCCTAGGGCCCTGCTGCAGACGGCTCTTGCGCTGCTGTTCCAGAGCGGGGTTGTGCAGCTGCAAGGGAGGCTGGTAACAGCCACTCTCTGGAACAAAGAAGAACAGTCACAGTATCCACCAGGGCCAGGTACACCACCGCCTGGCACTAAGTCAGGATTCTGCTACGAGGAAGAAGAGGCGCCTCCTCTGCTATCCGTCCCCTCCTTCAGCAGCTGCAGGCACCACCTTCCCTTCCCCTGCAGGCCTCTCCCCCAGGCTGCCCCTCCTGGGGGCCTCCTCACCCATCCCACCTTATCTTGGCATCCACTCACCCTCAGGAGTCACCCTGGAGGCACCGCTCCATGAAGGCTGGCCTCTGTGTTCTTGGGCCGCTACACATCCCTCTCTGTGCCCTTAACTGTCTTTTCTTTTTTTCTTTCTTAAAGATTTTATTTATTTATTTGACAGAGAGAGACACAGCAAGAGAGGGAACACAAGCAGGGGGAGAGGGAGAGGGAGAAGCAGGGAGCCCAATGCGGGGCTCGATCCCAGGACCCCAGGATCATGACCTGAGCTGAAGGCAGACGCTTAACGACTGAGCCACCCAGGCGCCCCATTCACTGTCTTTTCTGAAGGCGTGTGAGCCTGCAAGGGCAGGGCCATGTCCCCTCATCCAGCACGGTGCCGGTCCTCCCCTCTCCACCTTGGCCCCCCTGAGCCACCAGGTGTTCCAGGTACACGCCTCACTCAGGCCTTTCCTTCCCCCGGCTCGGGAAGCTCTTTCCCCGAGTGTCCCCGTGACTCACCCTCAGCTCACTGTGTGACACCTCGGCTTCCCTCGAGGACCTGCCTCCCACCGCTACATATCTCTCCATTGTCTCCATCCTGCATGTCCCGCTGGAATGTCAGCTCGCGGAGGGCAGGGCCACCTGGCCCTGTACCTGCGGTGCTTCATGAGGTGTGGAGTCTCAGCCTGCATCTGTGAATGAAACAGTCCTGTTGGCCAGGAAGCATCTCCTCTCCAGAAGCCCCCCACCACAAGATTTATTTGAATTAAAAAAAAATCAGGAAGAAGTATTGTTGTCAAGGTGACAGAGGAGGGAGGATACTGCTGGACACTGAGCTGGGCTTTAAAGAGTGGTTGTGGGTAGTAGGGTTATGCTGGCATCCCCAGGGGAAGCAACAAACTCCACAGCAGAGCAGAGCATTATGCGGCGGGACAGGGTGTGGACGGCACGGCAGGACGGTGTGCAGCCATCAGGCCCACTGTCAGCTGCCAGCAGCCTGCCATCTGGCCCTGGGCCAGGGGCCTCCTCTGTGCATCCCCTCCTTTTCCTAGGCGCTGTCCAGGGGCCTAGCCCTCCCCTGACGCTGGCCACTCTGCTGGGCGGGGCCCATCTCACACTGAGACCTCGCAGAGCTGTGGTCTGTGTTCCTCTCCTGCCGGCTGTTCCTCACCCACCAACTGCCAACTCTAGGCCCCTCCCACCCCCAGCTCCCCCAGCCCTCCTCCCTGCACTGAGGATTCCCTTCCTGTGAGTCCCGCCTGGGATGCAGCCCAGACTCCCCTTCCGTGCCTCCTGCATGCCTGGGCGTGCAGTCGTGGCCTGCTGGATGACCACTAGGTAAATGAGGGCATGATGGACCCCCACCTCCCCATCAATCTCCATCAGCTGCTCCACGTAGGACTTGCTGCTCCCTTCACCTCTCCCCTCCCTGGTTGCATGTTTCCAGTCCTGGGTGATCCCACTCTCTGCTTTCCTATTGCCTAGCCCCAAGGTGCTGCAGGAAGCCATAAAGTGGTGAATGAGTGAGTCCACCATAAATCTGGGTCGTCCGACCTGCGAGGGACCCTTATTAGTCTCTACTCATCAGCTGCTCCAAATGTTTTTTAGACTTGCCACAAATGTCTACTCTTCTCCCTTAATCTTTTTTTTTTTTAAGATTTTATTTATTTATTTGACAGAGACACAGCGAGAAAGGGAACACAAGCAGGGGGAGTGGGAGAGGGAGAAGCAGGCTTCCCACTGAGCAGGGAGCCCGACTTGGGGCTCGATCCCAGGACTCCGGGATCATGACCTGAGCCGAAGGCAGACGCTTAACGACTGAGCCACCCAGGTGCCCCTCTTCTCTCTTAATCTTGAAAGAGAACCTCACCTTTCACTTGATTGACAAAGAAGAGGGCCGCAGATGTGAGCCCCTGGACGCCCTCCCACTTTGTCTTGGTGTGTCATTGCATGCCCTCCTCCCAGTCTTCAGAGATTCCTGTCTCAAAAGAGGAAGCATCCTCTGTTGCCAAAGTCAGGAAATCAGGACTGTGCATTGCACATCTCTAGGCAGTGCCATACATTTACACATCAGTGTGAATGGCACCTCCTAGAGTGGTGCAGTGCATAACCAGTACAACTTTACATGGCAGTCCTCACATGGATTCCCTTTATTTTCCATTTTTACTCTGGTGTTGTTCATTTCCCCTTGCTGACTTCACCTCCCCCCGCAACACTGAAAACAGCAACAACTGTCTAGGGTTGCCTTCAGGGAAATCCTATTTTCAACCCCATTGGAGCCCTTAGTTACTGTTTAGGTACAAAAGAAGTCTATACTTACTCCTTGTTCTTTCTCACTGCTGGCTCATTCTTGCTTTTTTGAATAAACTTTCACTATACCCACTTAGGCTTTTCTTCTTCCAATTTGGAGGCTGGAACTCCTCCCATCTAAGACAGTGACTACCTTTCTCCTGGGTGTGGTTGGCTCTGAGGCCCACAGCCTGCATGAGGACGCTCAGGCGCTGCCCACCCACAACCCCCAGTTCAAAGGCTCTGCGGGGGTCTGTCACTGACCCGGGGCAGCTCCAAGTCCCATGCTCTCTGCTGGCCTGCTGCTCCAGGGAGATGCCCTTCTGCTTGGTTTGCTCCATTGGTTCTTCTTAAAATTGAGATATCATTTACATACCATAAAATTCACTTTCTTAAAGTGTACAATTCAGCGGTCTTTAATACATCACAAAGTTTTGCAACCATTGCCACTGCCTAATTCCAGAACATTTCCATCCCTCCAAAGAGAAACCCCATCCCCATTCCTGTCACTCCCCATGGAAATCGCTAGTCTACTCTCTGTTCTGGATTTTTCACATTAATGGAATTGTACAACATGTGGCTTCCTGTGTCTGGCTTCTTTCACTGAACGTAATATTTTTAAGGTTCATTCTTGTGGTAGCTAATATCAGTACTTCGTTCCCTTTTATGGCTGAATAGATTCCATTATATGGAATCACGTATTCTATATATTTTGGTTTAAACAAGCAAATAATCTTCCATTTGTTTATCCATTCTCACAGTTGATGAGCATTTGGGTGGTTTCCACCTGGCTATTAGGAATAACCCTCTGTGAACATTCACATACAAGTATTTTTCTGGGTACGTGTTTTCATTTCTAATGGGTGGATACCTAACAATCGCTTGGGCCATATAGTAATTCTGTGTTTAATTTTTTTTCTTGTGGTAAGACACAAAAACAGAATTTACCATCTTAACCACTTTAAAATGTACAATTCAATGGCAACTATATTTTAATTTTTTGAGGAACAAAATAGCGACACCACTTAACACTCTCATAAGCAGCGTATGGGGCTCCGATTCATCCACATTCTCGCCAGTACTTTTTAAATCTGTCTGCTTGGTCCCGTTGGGTCTAGCTGTCCTGGTGGGTGTGAGGTGTTGTCTCACTGGGTTCTGACTCGCATTCTGTGATGACTGAGGATGCCACCTCTTCCTGTGCTCCTCACTTGTGCTTCATCTTTGCCTCTTTTCCCTCCTTTGCATGTGGAGCACAAGTGCTGACCCAGCTTCCTCCCTAATGTTCTTTCTTTCATTTCCCTCTCCCTCTAGTGAGGATATAACATAATACAGAGTTTTTAAAGCATGTAATAGATTTAGTTACACCCCTGCCCTCTCTCCAGAGGTATGGAAAGCAAGGACAGAGAAGGAAATAATAAAGATAAGAGCAGAAATCAATAAAATCAAAACTAGGAAAACAATAGAGAAGATCAATGAAACAAAAGTGGATTCTTTAAAAAAAAATCAGTAAAATTCATAAACCAACAAAGATAAAAATAGGACACATATCATCAATATCAGGAATGGAATAGAGGATATTAATATAGATCCCAGAGGCAGCAAAAGGGTAATAAAGGAATACGATAAACAACTTCATGCTAAAAAATCCAACATTTAGGAGAAACGGACCAATTTCTTAAAAACCATAAACTACCAAACCCCAACTAAGGTAAAATAAGTAATCTGAATAGTCCTAAAATCATTTTAAAAATTGAATTTATAATTTATAAGTTTCTGAAAAATAAATCTCCAGGCCTGGATGGTTTCCCTGGAGTATTTTACCAAACATTTAAAGAAGAATTAACACCCGATTGTGTATA